TGTATTCATGCCTTGTATATAACAAAAAAGTACGAAACAAATAAATATCAACCTTTTGAAAATGACAGAGTACTTTGTTTGCGTGCGAACAATTGCGCTGTGGAGTCTGAGAGTGTTAGCGTCATGCCTCGCGTCATGCTGTAAAAAATTGCAACTGTCAAAAAATTTTCGAGGCTGGTTTCCATATAGATATTTTCTGCACGGTTAAGTGTTTTCACTGTTTTGTTTCCAGAGTTATGTTATCTGATAATTAGGAGTTTGTAGACAGATTTTGCAGATTAAATTTGCTGGAAGTGCGAAAAGGGTTATTCATAATAATATTAATAAATGTTCTCTGATCGTAAAATATTTATATATAGAATGTTTTCAGCAATTGAATTTTGTTCCAAATGTTACACCAATTTTGTTCTCAAATTAAATACAGTCAAAACTACAGCCTAATACTGACACCTCTCTAATACAGACAACTTTCTAATACAGACACCTCCTACGCATCTTCATACGCACCTTCACTAATACAGACACCTTTCTAATGCAGACACCTCTCTAATACAGACACCTCTCTCTAATACAGACACCTTTCTAATGCAGACACCTCTCTAATACAGACACCTCTCTCTAATACAGACACCTCTCTAAACTGGCACCTCTCTAATACAGACACCTTTCTCTAATACAGACACCTCTCTAATACTGACCTCTAATACTGGCACCTCTCTAATACTGGCACCTCTAATACAGACACCTTTCTCTAATACAGACACCTTTCTCTAATACAGACACCTCTCTAATACTGACAACTCTCTCTAATACAGACACCTCTCTAATACAGACACCTCTCTAATACAGACACCTCTCTAATACAGATACCTCTCTAATACAGACACCTCTCTAATTGTGTCGATCCGCGCACCTGGAAATCAGTGTGTGTAAAGTGCAAAAGAGCAAGATCGCTTAACAATGTAATAAATTGTTGTTAGTCCTATATTATTGAACATGGACAGTATAGATTTCCGTTATTAGCCTTATTAGTTTTAGCTTGTTAAGTTGCTTGAAAATTTGTGTTGTTTTGTTTGTTTTGTACAGTAATTTAATTTCTTGTTTATATGGGATCGCCGTAATTGGGGAAACCTGTGGCGAATTCCCTGGCTCCATATGTTGTATTTAAATAGTAGCCGAATCTTATTAAATCATTAAATCAATACAGACACCTCTCTAATACAGACACATCTCTAATACAGACACCTCTCTAATACAGACACCTCTCTAATACAGACACCTTTCTAATACAGATACCTCTCTAATACAGACACCTCTCTAATACAGAGTTACAGACACCTCTATAATACGGACAAAATATGAACAAAATATTTCAAAATATATAGATTACCTCTCTTAGATGGAAATTTCTCTATCCAAGTGGAAATATTGCTAGTGACTATATTGCCACCTTACATAAAGTACCTACATCAGTGACCTACATCGACATTCGTGAAAAAAAAAATCCAAAATGGAGTCTTGTTCAAGTCTGAAAGAAATTATAACTTTTCAAGTTGGAAACTACAGCAATTTTGTGGGAGCACACTACTGGAATTTACAAGAAGTTTTGCTTGGAGATGGGACTATTGAAAGCAACACTAAGAACGAGCTAAACCATGATATTTTATTCAGAAAAGGTTTAAATTTTCAGACCGGGCAACGGACATGCAGACCGCGTGTTATCGCTTTTGATTTGAAAGAAAACGTCACAAACCTCGCCTTAACGGATAACTCGTTAGCGGACGATGTTGAAGAAACTATTGTTTGGGATGGAACTGTGGAAAAATATGACAGAGGTTCAAAAATTGAACCACATACTCAAATCCAAGAGAATTCCTCATCAAGCCCTAGAAATGGCAGTACCGATACAACAAATCCATACAATGAGGATATAATTTCAACGTGGTCTGATTTCAGCCTTTCTCAATTCCACAATAAGTCTTTGCAATGTATCGAAAGTTCACATAATGAGGCATGTGGCAGTTTTGGTAATTTTGGCAGCGGAGAAGCGTTGTTCAAGTCTCCAAAGTTTCGTGACGAGTTTGAAGACAGATTGCATTTCTTTGCTGAGGAATGCGACAGACTTCAAGGATTTCAGGTGGGTCATTAAACCCATTGAGTAGCAACACTCTCCCCCTGACAAGTAAAATCGTCTGGCATTAGACAGACTAAAATAATAAAGTAGTGTGCATCTGGGCACATTGCCACTTAAAGGGTTAACAGGGTGCATGGGCAGATAGTCTGATTAACCCATTGAGTAGGGGTACTCTCCCCCTGACGAGTAAAATTATCCAGCATTAGACAGAGTAAAGCCTGGTTCACATATATGCCTGCGACGTAAGGGCGACGATACTGGTGCCAGCTTTAAAACGTAAATTATGTGAACATTGGTTCGCCGATTGCCGCCTGTGCCTTGAGTTGAGTTCAACTTTGCCGGTATTTTGGCGGCAAGTAGAGGCATAATGATACAGTCGCAGGCATACCGCAGGCATATGTGAACCAGGCTTAAAATAATAGAGTATGGCACGCCTGGGCGCATTGCCACTTAAAAAGGGTTAATATCATGATTGAAATATTTCCTCAGATTTTCACTGATATTCACAATGGTTTTGCTGGCCTTACATCAAAGATACTGTTAGACTTAGCTGACGACTATGCAAAGAAAAGTCAATTATGTTTTGCTATGATGCCAGCGATGTTTGAAGACGATACAAGACATACGCTTGACCTGGCAATGTTAAATATTTTGTTGAGTTTTGGAAAGTATGTTGATGCTGGTTGTCAAGTTGTTCCACTGTCGTTAAGGGATAGTTATGGATTGAGGGGGAAAATGGTGGAGTTTCCTTGCATTGATTACAAGGTAGGGTGACATGTTGACCTTATCCATTAATACCCCACACATTCCCAAATGAAAATATTTGGCATTAGACAGACGGGTGGATGGCGTACGGGTCATGAAATTAAACTACAGTATAAATATTCTAGTCTAGACAGCTTTATAAGTCAATCAGTTTTATATCAGCAGTTGTATGTAGTGATCTGGTGAGGGTCATGTTTATTGGGACAGCTGGTGTTGCTGTCTTAAGGGTGGGTTTTTAACGTCACATGTACATACATATGTGAATATGGCTTAAATTCATGCAAGCCAAATGAAGCTGTGGCCTAAACAGAACAACAAAATTGCAATGAAACGTTTGTTCAGTAAAACGGCTGCTACGCATGCTAAAATGTTGCCATGTAACCCGAGGAACGAAAGAAAAAGGTTTAACGAGCATGTCGATACCTGACTTCAGGATCTCGGTTGAATTTTTGACAACAAAAGGCAAAAGATCGCCCTCTGGTTATGGTTGTATGGTATGTTTAATTCAAAGGTGAGTAGCTACCATGCTTATTCTGTGCTTTTTGTTAAAACACTGATTGAAGTATGGCATTGTAGACATTTCACAATCAATAAGGAAGCTTTTTAGTGAAGTTTATAATAGCAGCGAGAGTAAAATTGGACAGTCAGAATAGATCAATACAGCCATATTAGATGCTCATTATTTGTTACACAGTTACACAGTTATTAGCTATCGTTCAAAGCCCCCCCCCCCCCCCCCC